ATATTTACAGGGAGGGGGGTCCTCTCTATGGAGGCTGTCATGTTTTTTACTGTCACCCAGGTTCTCTTTCGTGTTGGGAATGGAAGGGTGATATGAGGAGTATTCAGCTGCAACATGCAACTTCCCCTCTAGATATCACTAAATTCCACACACTGAACCTTTACATAAAAGGTCTAGAACTCTAAAATTATAGAGAAATGCAACACTTCCCACAATGAGCAAGCACTTTGGCGACTGTGAAGAGAAAAAACTGCCTTGTTACAGCACATCAACACTGGAGTCAGCTCTTATCACCACAAACTCTCCGGACATCTTCTTTGGTGTCTTCTATGTGTTAGAAACGTCATCAACCCCCAACCCATTTGTGAATTTTGTGAATTCTGCAGAGGATCTCCTGCTGTGTACTCACATTGTCTCCTCCCAACTTTCATCTGACATTATACTAGAGGGCTAGAGGGTGAAAGTCTGCAGAAACTATGGAGGCTCTCTCTTTTGACATTTGCACCCACTCATACACCTCCTCCAGAAAAACTACGTAGGGTCTCCAGAGTTCAGAACATGTCTGACAGCAGGTGTAGTTTACTGAGGAGTCAATAGGATAGGCAATGAGTCAAGCCATAATGATGGACGTCTACATGTCAATTCAATTTTTCCAATCATTTTGGTTTAAATTAGTTATTTGATGCTGACAAAATTGGTGGAAATGTCATGATTGGCAACTGAGACTCTGGCCCCAAATGTACAAAAGTTTGTATCCAGGATATTTTGGCTTCATTTCTGGATAGTGGAAAGAAGTGGACATGTGTCGTTCATCTTCAAATACAGTCTATGGGTCAAATAACAAGGAAATGACTTGTTATGGTGTTATGAAGTCATTGCAGTTCAAATACTCATTTTTTCAAATGTTTAAATGAAAGTTTGAATGAACCTGATAACCATCACCGCTATAACTCATTAATTATCATGTTATAGTATGACTGTCTGCTGCCTGCTAGCTCTTCTAAGTCTTAATGCTAAGCCAAGCTATCCTTCTCCTGGCTGTAGATTATTATTAAGCAAATACACTTAAGGGTGGTATCAATCTTTCCATCTATCTCTCAGCACGACAGCAAGGAAATGTTACAGTGGTACATTGTTGTTCCCAAGATGCTGTTTACTGGTGTGTGTGAGACCAATAAAACAGAGCAACGCTCCTCACAGCAATCATAACTCTATTTTCTGAAAAAAAAAGTGCCCCTCCCCTCATTTTCCAGCCTGTGGTCTGCATCTCATCACCGGCTCCTTTTCAAAACAGCCTCACAAACATTGTGATTGATTCAGCCACTATCCTCCAGGATCTCTCAATGCCTGCCTGGGCTGGAGATTAATTTCCTTTTCCTCATCTTAATTTTTACCCATCGCCTCTCTATAAAAAGGCTAAATGTCAAGCATGCCTGACTCCTTCTAGTGACACGTCTATTCCAGCAGATAATTACCATAAGGAAATTGATGCTTTAGTGTGCAGAGGGGAATTTAATTTACTCTGACATCCTCACAGCATAATGCGTTCCTAAAGAAAGAGAGTTTCTCAGTTTGCAATTGACTTTTTAGATAAATTGGACTATTTAATGTGATTATCAGTCTTGAACGTCTTTGACTTATTAAGGTGTTGAAACCAATTAAGGGTTACATGCTGCTCATGCTTCCAAATGTGAAACAGTGAATACTGCTTAAAGATCCATGAAATAAGAACCAGCCGGAGTGTATTGTTCAGTAGTCGCCCTGCTACGTCGCCTGATGATGTTTTGAGACTTTCCATAATGATATTAATTACAGCAACATCAGGTTGTGGATTAACCTGAGGGAGCAGAGGGTAATGTTTAGTTTGATTTGTAGCAGTGGGTTGCGGCTTGTATATGAAGTGTAATCTTAAATCCAGCAGAATGCATAAATTATGTTATAGATTGTTGGAGCCCTCTGCAGAAATTGGCTTTAATTTGCAGGCATTTGACACATTACCAATGACAATTCACATGCTTTGTCGAACTCATACTGTAGGAGGAGTATCAGTATCAGCCAGTGGTGAGAATCGATCCTGCTTTTGCACTAACATTATTTTTGTTTTTGTGAAGATATTGACAAACTAGATAGATAAGACATAGAGATATTTGGACATAATGAGAAGACATACGAACAAAACCTGAAACAGTTAAAATTATGTAAATAAAATGTAATGATTTAATAGCGGTTCCTGAGAGAGAGAGATATAAGGTAGGGTGTGTGTGTGTGTGTGTGTGTGTGTGTGTGTGTGTGTGTGTGTGTGTGTGTGTGCGATGTCTGTCTCCATGGAAAATGTTCATGTTTAATGGTCTTGGACAAGTTAATATTTATAAATACATGATGTCATATCAACATCTTTATATTAGTAATGGTTAACCAATATGATGTGATATAATACTATTGCTATCACCATTATTGTATATATCCAATTAAAATTGTCAATTAAAAAAATCATTATCATATAATCGTATACCTGATCATATATGAATAAATAATAAAATAATGACAGTTATATTAATAGGTAATAGTAACTTCACTCAAATCCTGCCTGGAATGGTTGTCCTTACAGTATTTTGTCAGTGAGTGAAGCTGCTGTGTCACTGAAGGGGACAGTATCTCTTGGTTCCTGGAAGAGCCCCAGCCTTATTGGACACCTCTGCGTTCACTGATAGCACTGAGTCACATCTCAGTCCCAGCATTCCCTTTTCATGGCCTCAAGAGTCGCACCCATCCTGCAGCCTGCTCATACCTGCAAGTGTCAGAGGACTGCAGCCTCAGAACTTGTAAGACAAAGCTTGGAGCACTGGCCGCCCGGCTTTGAGGAAGTCGGCGAACGTTGCTGCAATCCATATTATGGTCGTGAAGACACAGCAGGCCGCAGCTCTCCTGCCCAAAGTTCCTCCTTTAGCAACCAACTGCCTGAATGTTGTGCTTCTCAGGAGATAAGGGCTGCTTCCAACGAAATGTGACTCAGCAATCCAGCACGGCCTCTCCTGAGATAAGAGTGCTGTAGGGGGGCCTGAGGACGGTGGGATACTGGGATAAACAGTCACAACTTGCCGAGAAAACAGTGGAGCAGAACCAGCAGGTTGTCTGGGAAACTGAATATAAACTCCCGTCACTTAATCTGCAGTGAATATATACAAGCTCCATCTCAATAGCTGAAATTTAAGTTAAAATAATTATAGCTAGTCCACTCCAGCAGATTCTCATATGAGATAATAATGACAGGACCAATTCGTAAATGAGAGACGAGTTAGCCAAACCATAAGTCATTATTTATTTAGAATTTCCATCAATATTAATCCACAATTTATATATATTTCAATAATTTCAGATAATATGTGGTTGCCCATCATTCAGATTCAAATTTAACAATTGCTCAAGAGACCGACCTTTAGATTGACCTTTTAAGAGAATTGGAAAGTTATTAAACACCTAAAAGGGTCTGTGTGGTGATTGTGGCTGCTGCCGTGCATAGTTGAGTGTAGATTATCAGAACCAGTCTAATGTTCATTCTAAACCTGCCTGTTTGAGCTGATCGCTTGTCCTGTGTTAAAGGTATAGTTCACCAAAAAATGAAAATTCACCAATTATCTACTCACCACTATGCCAATGGAGGGTGGGTGAAGGGTTTGAGTCCACAAAACACTTTCAGGGGTAAACAGTGTTGCAGCCAAAGTCACCTTTTCTTCAGATGTAATAAAGCAACAGAAAAAATACACAACATGCACAAAGTGTCTGTAAACCCAGACATTCATATTCGACTTGAAACGGGTCATTTACTTCGCGTTTTGAGCCTAAAAGTCCACTACCGGAAGTAGCTAAGCTAGTGGCCACATGAACGTGCACCCCATGCCAAACAGGAAGTGATTCAATGAATGTTGTTGCCATGATGGAGATCAGCACTCATTGCAGCTCAGTCCATCTGTCCGATAAGGTGAAAATGAAACAATCAAATTATCAAAATGCTCAGGGTCGATTTTGACCTACAGCTTGACCCAGTTACCAACCACCGCTGTAGTTTATCCGAGGACATAGAAGACACATTCAACTGGGTCAACAGACTGGAAACACGCCCCCGCTGACCGCTACAGAGCCCTGGTTGGCTGTTTTTTCAATTTTTATTAACACTGAAGACAGACGCTTGTGAAATTAGTAGGTTGATCAGTGACGGGAAAAGCCAGATAGATGAAATTTTGCAACCTCTCCAGATGTATGTGTATCTCAGTTTCAAGGAACGAATGATTGGAGCTCTTATATGGAAGCCTCTGAAGCCAAAATATCTCCGATGGGTTTGGACCTTAGTGTTGGTTTGTAGAGGAGAAAAATAATGTATATCTACATGATGATCATCTGCAGGACTGAGCCGCTGAGACTGAGGGACAACACTCAGTTTACATGCATCTTAAAAGAGCAAGTAATGCAGAGTCAAATGTTGAAAAGGAAACAATGAGCTCAGAGACAGTCCTGATGGTGGACACCTGCTGATGTGCTGAGGTGGGACAGGGGGCTCTGACACTGAGGGGAGAAAGTCTGATGCATGAAAGACTACATATAGGGGGAAAAACTCATTATATGGGAAAGAAAAAACAGTTGTGTTAATTTCATGGACTGCTTCAGCGTGCCAGAACAGGTGACAGTGGAGGGGGGGGGGGGCTGGCGGGTCCAATATGCAAGTGAGGACCCCCACCACCACCACCAACCCCCCCAATCAGCTTCCTCAGTGAGAACGAAATAAATAAACAATGAACGGTCCACTCTCCTCGCGCGCCTCATCCCATCTCATGCATGGCTGCCAGTGATGGTCTACTGGGTGTCAGCTTTTTATTGGCACGGCACAAAGCGGGGTGCCAGGGGCTCGGCGCGGAGTCTGCAGACTCGGCCCTGTGGATAAAAGCGAGCAAAATGCCTCAGCAGAGCTCAGAGGCGTGAAGTCATGTTGGGCTGGAACGAGGAAGTGCAGTGGAGAGGAGGGGAGGGACTCCGGGCGCAGCTCCATGGGGCCGCGGCGGCGCTGCGACCTTCTGCACATGGAGCCGGGGAGAGTTGGAAGAACTTCATACTGCAAACTCAAGGAATAGCAGGTAAAGTGACCTCCACCGCGCCTCTTCTGCTCCACACTGACCTCGCAGACTCTCAGGAGCTCTGAACTCACACAGTTTGTTCTCTAGTCTTAAGGAGTCGTTTGTGCCTGACTGGAAAAAAACTCTCCTTTAGTTTCGGTGCAGGTGCAGCTGCAGCATCAGATCCCGTTTGCTGCGCGTAATTCTCCTCTGGCGCACGACATGCCAGTGATTAATTATACGCTTTGTGGGCTATTTTTTTAATCAATTGAGGAGAAATATGTACTTTTTAAATCATAATTTCTTCCTGTATAGCCAGATGTTCAAGAGCAATAAAGGAATGTTCCCTATTTCCCTTGCGTAAATTTCTTTTTGGGAACATGCGGATAAATTATTCACAATTATTTTGATTTATATAAAAACTGCAAATGTAGTTTCATAATTTCCTAATAATTATCTGCGCATTTCATTATAATCAAAACCAGTTTTATTACATTTTACACTCCTGTTATTTATAGCACCTGTTGCGACAGATGTGCGCGCTAAACTTCACACAGGCTCTATCTGGAGTTCAGTAAAGTACTAACATATGTATTTTAAGAAAAAAAAACTTGTATTAAAATGTAATTTTGGCGAGAATGAAAAAATGATAAAGCGAATGTGAAAATATTTTGGCGCCGCTCAAACAGGAAATCAGTACGCACCGACTGACGCAGCTTCTTATATCTATGAAATAAATCAATAATCGATAAATCTGATCATTTCTCATCGCTTTAGTCTTTGTATTCACTTGTTCCGTCCACACAGTCTGAGTTGTTAAACGTGTGTGTGAAGGAGAGAGAGAGAAACACACACATGTAGGCAGGACTGATGAAAGTTTTTTACACTGAGGAAGAAAGTTGTTGCTCAACGCCCAGAAAAAAAAGACATGAAAGATTCACAGAAAAAACTAATGAGGAATTGTATTTTTTACTCATTTTTAAAAGACTAAAGTTTCTGGTTCTGTAGAAGTCGAACCTCTGTAGAAAATATTATAGACTCCAATTAAGCTTAAATAATTATTAGATTAAGAGTTCACTTACTTTTGAACAATTTGTATGTGATAAGTCATTGGAGTGTCATTTTAATCTATTACACAAGACATATTAATTTAATGTTATCTGTAATTTTCAGTAAGTATGGATCCATTTGCAGTTCACATTAAGTAAGATGCAATTTTCTTTGTTGAGTTTGAAACATTTAAGGGATAAATTGCTCAGCCATTTAACCACAATCAGACCTGAATACAAACATTGAATTAAAACTAACACTTTGACAGAGAGCCTATTGAAAAATAAAGTTTGATCTCAGATGTTGAAACTTGGAAATGAACCCCGGCACCTGCACTTTTTCACAGCTCAGAGAGAGAGAGGTGCAAATCTGTCTGCGGATCCATTATCTTTCTTGTCAGCAGAAACAGAAGCAGGAGGGGGGCAGAGGAAGACAGGCAGTTATTAAAATGATTGTTGTCTGAATAGCGGAGTAGTGAAGTGTGTCAGATGCAAATGAAGGAAACTTCTCCTCAGCAGCTCAACTCTCCCCTCACCCCCATCGATGAGCTCCCAGAACACATCCGGTAACACTACATCTACCCACTTCCACCCATATATTTCATGAGTCTTCATGTGCATTGAGGAACAAAGGTGACCATGTCGCACACTGTCCAGTGTAGGATGAGCTCTTTTCCTAAAAGTGGATAAGAAGACGCCCATAACATCATTAGTCCTCATGAAACACATCTTTTCAGTCTGATTAGTTTCTGTCTACAGTGGAAACCTTTAGTAAAGTATACAAGTAATAATACTTAGAATTATATTTCATGTTATTACACTGCGCACTCACTC